CTTCCTTCCTTCCTTCCTTCCTTCCTTCCTTCCTTCCTTCCTTCCTTTCTTTCTTTCTTTCTTTCTTTCTTTCTTTCTTTCTCTTTCTTCTAATTCGTTTGCCCAGGTCCCTCCTAGAAAAGATAGTTTTTTCTCAGAGCTTTTGCTCGGCTGCTTCCTGCTGTCCCCAAGTTCCCTCTCGTGAGCTGCCCTCAAGGCTGTTATATCACTTGTACATCTCTCAGAGGGGTCAGCAGTGAAAGTGTCTTTCCTTCGGAGACTGGCCCATAGAGATAAAGCCGTGGGCAAAGGGAGACTGTCTGGTTCACATGGCTGTGTCTCGTGAGTGCCATGAGAAAGAACAATCGGCTATGAGTGGTCCATTGGACCTCCCAGGCTATCTGGGGAAGTCCCTGTGTGCAGATGAGATAGCTGGGATCCGGTGGGCTCCGAGAGGCCTCTGACATCATAGACAGTAGCAGAGTCAACAGCGTGAGAATGGCGTTTGACTCTTAACTGGTGGTCCCGAGGAGAGATGATTGTTTTTAACACACAGCTTATTTCCAAGAGGATAGATTTATTTATATAATTTAATTTAACTAAAGCACTAACACAATCATAATGGCCTGCTGTCCTAAAGCATATGCTGAAGGAATGCTGCTGTCTGGCCTTGTAGATGTCATGCTACCCAGCAGGGTTGGCAGAATAGGTGCATCCAGAAACCATCGGATGTGGTCCTCATTGGCACTGGCATATTTGCTTGACTCTGCCTAGGAATATGTAAACAAATGTCTACTCGCCTTCGAGAGGGCAGCAATGGCCTGGCAAAGAAATGAATCCACACAAAGGCAGCTAAGTGGACCAGTGACTTTGTTGGGTTAAGGGAAGGTAAGAAACGGGGCAGATAGAGGACCACAGGTGATTCTCGGAGCAGTGCCACCAAAAAGCCACTCCAGTGTAGGTGTGATTAGTATGTAAAATAGCATAAGCCAATTCACCAATTAGAGGCAAAGTAAATTCAAACTGAAGCCATGAGGGTTTTGTGGGGGTTGGGGGAAATTTTAACCTAAGAAGAAGCATGAGGCTGTGTTGTAGCTCAGTACTGTAGTGTGTACTGGGCATAAAAATTCGGGAGCCAGCCAGCACCGAACATAACAGTAACAATTCTCTTGACAATACTTAATTCACTTGGGGTACACAATGTTTGGAACCTCTTTTCTTCATTGCCCAAGGTGATTTTGTTTGTTTTCTTGCTTACTTCATTTTGTTTGGTTTGGTTTTTTTCTAAAATGAAACTACATTTTGAGTGAAAAAAAAAATGAAGTACAATCCAAAGCAGATCAGGGACTGGTCCCACTCGTAGTTTCACCTGTAAAACATGAGTGGCTGAGTTCTCTGTCTCGCTGTGTGGAGGGCTGAAGCTCTGGAACGATGCTGCACTCAATTATAACGGCACTTAACATAGATGGTGTCCCTTTAAGGGAAATCCACTGGAGTGCTCTTGCCAGCGCTGAGATCTTATTTGCTAAAGGCCAAATGGCAGTGGCATGTATTGGTTCCATAGCAACATGTCTGCGCAGCAAAAAATACAATGCTTGCAGCAGCCAGTGTGCCCCAAGCAGAGCCAGGATTGCCGCAATGCCTCCTTTACTTCCCTGCCTATCTCTCTCTGCCTCTTCCCTTCCTGGGGCCTTTGATAGTGCGGGGAATCTGCACTTTGTCATCCTTGTTGTCTAGTTCTGTTAACACTTGCCTGTATCCTTATCCAGCCTGGAACTGGGTGAAGAGGAAGGCAGTGCCCATGATCTCACTCTTCGGCAGAGCTGAGCGCCTCCCAGCCTTAGTGCTTGGGAACTTGCAAGCTGTGCGTTGACTCGTCTCTAAGGCAGCATAGTTCTGTCATAAGGACATGGCAATTCCTGTATATGACAGTCAGCTCCTCCTGGCTGGAAGGTGGGCGTTGACAGAGAGCCATGTGTGATCCAGAGAGCCATGTCATATGCTGTGGACCTGTGTAACAGGAACAGTGGGGCTATACAAAGAAATATGGTACCCTTTCCTCTCCTTCCAGAAGGTTCCGCTAGGGGCGCAGATCCTGACTACAGTTCCATCACTGCTCGGCTCTTGGAGTTTTTGAATGTCTCTGATAGTCTTCATCTTTCACATCTGTTGCAAACACGCTGGTTTAGGCTGATGCTTCTCCTGCTACACTCTGGAAGCAGCAGGGTCTCATACTACAGTCCAAGCTGGCTTGAGGATTACTGTGTAGCTGTCCTAGTTTCTTTTCCCATCGCCATTATAGACGACTCTGACAAAAGGAACCTAAGGAAGGAAGGCTTTATTTGAGCTCACAGTTTAAAACACAGTCCCTCCTGCAGGGAAGGCAAGGGCTTGTGTGCCTGCAGCAGCTGGTCCCTTTCCATCTGCAATCAGAAACAACAGTGCATACATGCATGCATTCTGATGGTCTGCTGGCTTTCCTCACATCATACAGTGCTCCTCAACCTGTGGGTTGACTGCTTTGGGAGGTCAAACAACCCTTTCACAGGGGTTGTATGTCAGATATTTACAATAGGAGTCATCACAGTAGCAAAATTATTGCTATGAAGTAGCAATGAAAATAGTTGTGCCCGGGGTCAGCAGAACATGAGGAATATCTTAAAGGGTCACAGCACTAAGAAGAATAAGAGCCACTGACATTATACAACCCAGGACCTCCTGCCCCGGGACTAGTCCCATCTATAGTCAAGATGCATCTTCCCACATCAATTAATCAAGACAAAGCCCCACTTGAATACCCAAAGGTCTACCAGGTGGTTCTATTTTCTTCCTAGTTAGCAATGAACACCATTGCAGTAGCACAGACTTACTTCAAACCTGAGCATGTCCCGTGTCAGCTTCCCAAGGGCTAGGGTCACAGGTATGTGCTATCACACCTAACCTCTGGAAGCATCTTCAAAGATCTCTTCCATCCATTTGCCACCCACCTTGTGTTTCTTCTTTTGATTGCTATCTCTTTGCAGGATGTCTGGGCATCTTTCTAGACTGAAAGGAAGCCTTTTAATCTTAAAATCAGTATGTCTCTTCCTCTCCCACACCCATGGGCTTTCTTTCTAAATCTCTCTAATGTAAAGAGCCTGGTGGGTAGTACCCACATGTCATTTGTTCATGATGACATCATAGTCTCATCCTGTCGCCCAAAGATCGTGATGTATGTATGTAACTATATCCGTGTATTCATATACACTTTTAAAGAAAATATCCATTTAAGAGATTCTTGGTGTATATTTTTAAATGTGGTGATAAAGCCACAAATTAGGAGCATCTAAGGACTTCACTCTTCCCCTCTTCCCATTGTGGAGACTGACCACAAGGCCTATGCTATGTCTCACACAAAGGTAAGCTTTTTTTCCACCCCGCCCCCAGAAACTCAGTGTCACAGCATTTGCCTTTGGGGCCACATTTCTCAGTCTCGCAGTTGTCTTTGGAGCCATTAAATCAAAGATTTGAAGGGGCTTCATTAAAGTGACAGGCTTGATAGATTAGGATAGCGATTCCTAATTTAGTTTTGAGGCCTGTTGGGAAAGGAGATGGTTTTCATGTGAAAACTTTTATCTTAAAAGAGTTAAAGGAGTTTTCTTTCCAAGCTCTGAGTCAATGGAAAGAAGACAGGTGGAAGCCAGAATCTTTATGCTGCTAATAACAGCTATAGAGTGAGTGCCAAAGAGACTTACCACCTTCCTAGCGCCCTGTCCTTAGTGTGGCCCTTCGTATTCATAACTGGAACCATTTTGAGTCTGCAGAGCCCTGTCTGTGGGAAGAGGAAAGAGGTCAAAGTTTGCTTTGATTACCCCCTACTCAGTGGTATCTGCTTTGCATCCAGAGAAGGCTGGGGCCACATTTGGTTCCAGCCACAGCCTGGTAGCTCACTCCCCACCCTTGGAGAAGAAAAAGGCGAAGCAAAGGGACAGAGAAATGTATAAGATGGGTGGGGGTTGGGTGCTATGGCTCTGTGCACATTTTAGCCTCTACCTACCAATCGATCAAGGCAGATCATCTCGTCCTCCCTGACTGTGAGAGCCTGCCACCTTCACCCAGTCTCATAGTTCCTGTGTTTGCTGTTTGTTCAGGGGTCTGGTTAGTCTCCTCTGCTCAGTGACCACAAACACCTTGTCAGTCTCGCCTACCGCATCTCAGTATTTGAAACCATGGCAGGTATACAACAGCCTCTTGGTCTGCCCAATGCTCACCCCTGAATTTGGGGAGAAATGAAGGGAATGGAGGGAAGAGAGTTGGAGGGCGAAGAGACGAACTCTGAAAGTCACAGCCAAGGTCACAGCCTTCACGACACCTTAGACTAGTTGAAGAGGCAAGGCATGATTACAGGTAATATTAAAAGCATGAAAAGGAATAAAAGGCAGTCGATTGCAGAGGTGACACTAGGTGTTATGCACAGATTCATTGCCAAACGCATGATAATAGAGCGAATGGAAGCTATTGTATTAGTCAGGAAAGGATACAGTTTTGTGTCAAACAGTCAATCCTAAGCTCCTGGTGGCTTCACAATGCGAAGGTTCATTCCTCGCTCATATCATGTCACATCAGTGGTGTCTCTCCTGGATGATTGTCCTCTGGGCATTGCTGATATTCCTTCTGACCATCTACAGGCCTTGCACTGGGAAGGGACCAAAACTGGAGATTTGTTTACACAATTCAAAGGCTGAGTATGGAAGGTTCGCTCATCGCCTGCTGTGTTCTGAGCACTGAATCTCTATTTCAAGATATCTCACTGTGTCCCAGGCCTGTC